TTTGAGATAACATTGCATGCAATATTATCTCAATTTTAGCCAAGGGGTGCAATATTATCTAGGTAATATTGCATATGATTCTGAAAAACACCATTTTACTGATATTGACTTTATATTGCATGCAATAAAATCCCAGGTAATACGGTATTTTTAATTTTAATTTAATGCCAACTATTAATGTATTGATTAATAGGACGGTAACGGAAATCGCGTAAAACAGTGGACAGGACTGACACCTATAAGAGGAGTTGTATCTCAAGAGCTACAGCTGTCTGAACAGCCAGTGTTGGGCGACTGGGCTATAGTTGTGGAGCTGTCGGGTGTCAAACACCAGAAGGCCTTCTCAGTGGCGGAGTATGTGTTGCCCACGTTTGACGTGGAGGTAGTGTTGCCTAAGTATACCACTCGTGACCGGCCGGACATTGTGGCCACAGTTAAGGCTCTCTACACGTATGGACAGGGAGTTAAGGGAGACCTCACTCTAACCGTACAGACAAAGGAACACTACAGTCGAAGTGAGTTTTGTTTTATTAGTTTGCAAATTGTTTTTAATAATGCTATACAGTATTATTATATAATTAAAAAATTATTATTTTATTTATAATTTATAATTAATTATTATTTAACTAATTATAAAAAATAGTCGACATTTATTTTTAGCTTGCAGGATAGGCTACGGTATTTCATTATGCAAATAGACCTAAAATATAAATTAATGTTTTTATATTTTAGGTTATAATTGTTATTATAATTATAATTAAAATTTAACATAAATTTAAAGGCAAATACAGGACTCGGTATCCGATCGACGGAAGTGTTGACATACCTATCAATCTGATGGACGACTTGTCACTCGACCAACACTTCCAGAATATGGAGATAGAAGTGATTGGAGTGGTAAAGGAGGCGCTGACCGGCCGGTCGTATAACCGGTCAAACACTATGAAGATATACGACAGGGATGTGAAGGTAGAACAGGTGAAGACCTCCCAAACATTTAAACCGGGCCTCAAATACCCGGTGCTCATCAAAGTGACCGATCAGGACGACAAACCGGTGCCCGAAAACGGTCCCAAACTTACGCTGAAATACGGCTACACTTATGAAGATAGGGACCAGAAGACAGTCCTCATGAGTCCAGTCAATGGACTCATTGCTGTAGATCTCTATCCGCCCAATAATACAGAGCACATAAATCTGAGGGCAGAATATATGGGTAAAGACTATTGGTTGGAAAACATACAGAAGGCTCAGTCGCCGTCCGGTAACTACATTCAAGTGGTGCGACTCGACTCAGACAAAGACGTGAGTGTCGGCCAACTGCTCCGGTTTGCCGTCAACGCCACCGAACCGATCGGTCGACTCGTGTGCGAAGTGTTGGGAAAGGGAGACATCGTTTGGGCCCAAAGTATTGATATACCGGACAATAAAATGACTCACGAGTTTACTTTGGAGGCCACACAAGCGATGGTACCGACGGCTCGACTGGTGTGCCATTACCTGCGAGCGGCCAATCAGGAAGTGGTGGCCGACGGACTCAAGTTTGATGTGAGCGGTACTCTCCGGACACCCGTATCGGTCACTACTGACGTTCAGACCACTAAACCGGGCGCACCCGTAGAGGTGAGGGTGAGTACCAAACCGGACGCATACGTGGGTCTACTCGGTGTCGATCAGAGCGTACTTTTGTTGAAATCCGGTTACGATATCACACGCGAAGACGTGGACAAAGAGCTGAAGACATACGACTCGACCGGCGCTGACGATCAGCACCGGTACGGCTGGTGGCAAAACTCTGTGACCGCCGGCGAGATATTCGACAACTCGGGTGTTGTGGTCATGTCTAACGGTTTGATACACCGACAGCGGGCTTACGGTAAGTGATATACAACACATTTGTTTTGAGTTAGTATATATCTTGATTATCTGCATGGTGCAAATAAATTTCATATTACTAATACTAATACTTACACATAGATTTGATTAATATGTAACTTATTTACAATAATTGCAAGCGACTATTATTAGTATTTTTATTATTGTTAATACTATTATACCATTGTTTTAATGATTGTAATTGTGTAACAAATATGAAATTTTCTTTGAAAAAACATGTTTGTAAAATACGTTGACTTTTTATCTGTATATGAAAAGTTGTCATTGAAAACATACAGGGGATATATCTGGTGAATCTGGTATATCTGGTATGATTGCTAATTTAAGGGCAATGGCTTTGGCAATGGGCGAAGAGGTAGGATCACAGTCGGCACAGTTAGACACGATAGTGCCGAGAGCTCGCTGTAACACTCCATACAAACGCCTGTCCAGCCCTCCAGACACACCACAGCCGGTGAAAGTGAGGCTAAACTTTCCCCAAACTTGGATCTGGAGTTCCGGTGTTTCGCTGTATTTATATATATTATAATTTGTTTGAATATTCTTTCAGCGAGTTTAAAATGTGTTCAATAGTTTGTTGACCGCAATAGTTATAAAGCGCACATATTTGCAATGACAATGTTTATGAAAGTTTCCTGGCTAGTTTTAGCATTTCTTATTTATTTGCATTCTGCATGTCGCGTGCTGTTTTTTGAGCATGATAATTTTGGAAACATATACGCCAGCAATATGCATTTATTTTGTTATATTGCAAGTATATAAAATAATTTATTTTAAACGCGAGCTATCTCAATATTCAATGAAAGCATCAAACTTAGAATTATTGGATTATGAGGAGGACGATGACCAGGGGTTTATACTGGATTCATATTCCCCACCTAGGAAAAGGATCGCCCTTGATCATACCAGTGATATATGGGATGAGGCTTCTATCGTACCCTCACATTCGACACTCGGGCTTAAAGTTAGGAAACATTTTCCCGAAACATGGATTTGGATATCAATTGTTGCCCAGTATTTGATTATTGTCTGAATTAACCATTTAATGCGCTCAATAGTGTTGATCAAAATATACAAAAAAATATTTATATATTTATTCTAATAATAACTAAATAATTAAATTGAAACATAAACTATAGGCCCGAAAGTGCGAGGCTTTGGTAGACCAATGAGTGGTAGTCCGAGAATTATGTACAAAAAAGTACATGTAGCCAATGTTGAACATAAACGAGCTAGGACAGTTAAAGCAACCACTGATTCAGCTCAGTCGATGAAAGTTAGAAAACACTTTCCCGAAACATGGATTTGGACGTCAATTGTTACCCAGTATATATTTTTATAGCTTAATGCGCGCAATAGTGTTGTGACCGAAACATTCAATTTTTTAGGAATATATTTTAATTAACCAGACATTCCTATGCTTAGTGCTTAACATAACATTATGGTTAACTTATTAGCGTTACTTTCAAATGATAATGATTTACTATTATAAAACTTTTCAACAAATCAAATATATAATTACTAATCCATAAAAGTAATTAATGATATGATTTAATTAACATAATATTAATTATATTATCGATATTATTTTATAAACAACTATGCTTTTGTATATTGTATTAAATAAGACATGGATGTGATGTTAGAGGCACAGGAATTTATTTCCACGCCTGCTTCGGCATTGGAAAGGGAAATACCACCCGAGGCTCCCCCGAACCCAACTGTCCAATCAGGCGATCGGAAATCGGTAAAAGTTAGAAAAAACTTTCCCGAGACTTGGATTTGGACATTAATTGTGACCCAGTATTTGCTTTTTGTGTTTGATTTAATCAGTTAATGCACTCAATAGTGTTGAAACCGAAATATGTATCATTTATTATTTGGTCCTAAATGTATCTTGCATATATTATGAGATATGAGTTAAAAAGTAGATTAATTACCGATGTTTTTATTAACTAATTTTATTTTAAAATTCCCAATGAATCGCCGCTCTCCTAATCACAAACATTAACATTTGTTTAAATTTACTTTTATTAGCAATAATGTTTTGTAAAACTAATATAACTATGGTTATTCATTTAATTAATATTCTGCAAACTGTTTGAACAAATATAAATTTTTTATTCTGGTGAAATAAGTGATGTATCGTGATCGAAGTGATGATAGTGCTATGGAACGGAGCAGGGATATACCGGTAGAGGCATCCAATGACCTAACTCTTCCCTCAGATACTATCAATTCAGTGAGGGTTAGAAAAAACTTTCCCGAAACTTGGATCTGGAGTTCCGACGTTTCCATGTATTTAGACGTTTATTTTTCAATAATTTTTAAAGCACTTAATAGTGTTGACAGTAATGCATAATATATTTAATTGAGTATTTGATTAGTTTCTTCTATTTGATTTAAAGCACTTGATCTTGATTGCCTCCAGCATTTTGAAAAACGCAAACCATTTACTGTATTACTGCATTATAAATGAACATTAACATTTTATTAATATGATTTTATTTATTATATCTAATAATATAAAACAACTTGATAAATCAAATAATATTTATACATGAACATTTACATATTATGTTATTCTTCATCAATGTTCAATTTATATAAGTTAATTAAAAACTTTTATTATAGCTAGCTCACTATTTGGTGCCCCACAAAGTTTGAGCAGGGTTATGTCATTTGGTTCCGCCGCTCCGTTAGCAATGTTTTCAATGGCAGAAAGTTTACCAATGGCTAAGTCTGTGGCCATTCCCGACCCCAATGCGAGTCCCGAACCCAAAGTTAGAAAACATTTTCCCGAAACATGGATTTGGAGTTCAATTGTTTCCCAGTATTTGCTATTTTTAATTATATTTGCATTACTATTGGCGAAAAATCCACCACGATTTAGTTGACCGAACAAATTATCACTAAATTATTTTAGATTCCATTCATATTCAACCATGATTATTAATAATTTAACTAATATAATCATTTATAAATTAAATTAACATAGATATTAGTAGAATAACAGTTATCATTTAATTTTATTTAAAATAATTACTCACTAAATAACGATACTAACCAAGATAGTGATAAGTTGGTCCTAAGAAGTTTGCTAATACATTGCTTGATTAATTGTATGCGTTAATAATATAGGAGGTTTTGGTGGCGGTCGACCCAAACCAGGGGTCCCAATGGGAGGCGTGGCTTTCGACGGCCCTGTTAGCATTAACAAAGTATCCGCAATACGACCGCAAACCTCCCCTTCAGTCAAACAAAATGCCCATAAAATTAGGAAACATTTTCCCGAAACCTGGTTATGGGAGTCAGCGATCGTCGGGTATTTTACAACAACACCTCTCTCTCTCTCTCTCTCTCTCTCTCTCTCT